TAACCCTCAGTTTCAGGAATTATGTTAGTTGCCTATTTCTTTGTTTGCGCAGTTACCTGCTTCTCTGCTACATTTTGGACACGCCGCTTTTCCTCAGCCTCATTCGCAATCGCTCACAGCTAATTTCAGCCGTCTCATTCTGTGGACATTCTGATTGGTTTCTTTTACTCAGCGTTCCTTAGCTTTTTCACGTGGATGTATTATTCAGCCGACGCATATTTATTATACCTGTTTTTATTTTCCTGGTTTGTATCATTCTCACTGTCAACTGTTCTGGCATTTGTTTAAACGCATCACTTCTCCACCCTGATTGGACGCTACTCGTCGTTTTTAATGGTCGCTCACCAGAAGGTTACCCCCAGGGATTTACTCCGCAGACACTATTTTCTTTGCCGCAATTCATTGGCTCGTAATTTTGGAGATTCTCATTTGCTTGTTCCATTTTGTGTTTTCTCCATGCCTGTTGGACCTCATGCGTTTAGTAGTGTGGATTCGCCCTTGTTTGTAAAGCTATATAACTGGTGCCGTGCTGTAATAGAAAATCTGTTCATCCCGGCTCATCTTGGACTTCTTCTTGCGGTCGTGGGGTGAAGGCGTACTAGGCGTCACAACATATTCTTCTGGCGACGGGAAGTGGTGAACCATGTCGGTTTCGTTCGATCAATTGCAGACTTTACTTCAACAGCAACAGTTGCAATTTGAGAAATCGCAAAGGCAGCTGATCGAATTGCTCACACACAAATTGAACCTTCAGACAGAACCCCCGACGACGACAATTGCACCATCATCAGTGGACGCCCTTACTGCATCAATCACAGAATTTGTGTTCGATGGATTGAGTGGTGTAACCTTCGATTCATGGTTTAAGAAATATGAGGATATTTTTCGAGTGGAGTTTTCTGACCAAGATGATGCCTGGAAAGTTCGATTGTTGTTGAGAAAACTTGGAGCAGTGGAGCATGAACGCTACACAAATTTCGTGTTGCCGAAAAACGCAAGGGACTTCAGCTTTGATGAGACCGTGAGAACTTTGACGCAGATCTTCAGTGAGCAAGCCTCTTTGTTCAGCATTCGGTGCAATTGTTTGAAGTTGGTCAAACGCGATGTCCATGACTTTGTCACTCACGCTGGGATTGTGAACCGCGAATGTGAACGATTCAAACTCGGCACGATGACTGCGGATCAATTTAAGAGTCTTATTTTTGTGTGCAGTCTCCAGTTCCACGCTGATGCCGATATTCGCACACGAATTTTACACAAGCTTGAACAGGAACCACAACTGACGTTGCAGGATATCACTACAGAATGCCAGCGGCTGATAACTTTGAAGCACGATACAAAAATGGTTGAAACTGCTGATCACAAAACTGAACCCCAAATTTGTCTTACAGCTATCCGACGTAAAGGAATGAACCGAACTAGATCAACTCAGAAGCCCCTGACCGCATGCTGGAATTGTGGCGCCTGGCATTTTGTGAGAGATTGCGCATATAAAACGCACCAATGTCAGAAGTGCAGACGGATTGGTCATAAGGAAACCCACCGCCGAGTTGTGAAAAATTTCAAACGTTTTTTCCCCCAAAAATGCGCGTAAATCCCAATTTTAGAAGAGCCAATTTTCACGGACCGGCCGCAAAGATAATCCTCGCCGCCTTTCGCACAGAACTTGCACGCAAGAGAAAGTACGTGTCAGTAAAAGTCAATGGTGTTCCTATCACGTTGCAGCTGGATACAACGTCCGACATTACAATCATCTCGAGATCAGTCTGGAAGAGGCTTGGGAAACCAGCATTCAAACGCACAACCCTGACGGCTAAAAATGCATCTGGGGGATCACTAAGATTAGATGGTGAGATTGAGTGCGAAGTCAGCTTCAATGGCTTGAATCTTCGGGGCACGATTTACTTGGTTACGAGCAGTGACGTAAATCCGCTCGACATCGATTGGATCGAGAAGCTGCATCTACTCGACGTACCATTGAGTCACATTTGTTCTGAGAATAATGTCGCGGTGCTTCGTACAGCCGTATCGAATCAGCCGGGTCAAAGTATTGCAGAACTGCTTCAATCGAAGTATGCATGTGTATTTCAATCAGAGCTTGGATATTGCACGAAAATGCAGGCAAAGCTTACCCCGCTTCCTGAGGCAAAGCCAGTGTTCTGACCCAGACGTCAAGTCCCTCACGCATCCCAAGCACTCGTAGAGCATGAGCTTGATCGATTACAGCAGGCCGGAGTGATCGAGCAAGTCAGTTTCTCACAATGGGCGGCGCCTATCGTTGTGATCAGAAAACCGAATGGCTCAGTTCGTTTGTGTGCAGATTTTTCCAGCGGCTTGAATGCTGCATTAGAACCCCATCAGTACCCGCTTCCACTCCCAGACGACGTGTTTGAAAAGCTGAATGGAGGCAAGTACTTCGCTACTCTGGATCTGGCAGACGCTTATTTGCAACTGCAGGTCGAACCGGAAAGCAGAAAGCTTCTAACAATCAACACGCATCGCGGCCTTTACCAGAATAATCGTTTGCCATTTGGAGTAAAAACTGCACCTGCAATCTTTCAACAAGTTATGGACGCTATGTTGACTTGCTTGACGGGAGCAACAGCCTATCTAGATGATATCATCATAATGGGCGGAACCTAGGAGGAATTGTTTCAACGATTGGATGACGTGATGATGAGAATTAAGGAATTTGGATTCCGGTTGCGAGCTGACAAATGCAAATTTTTCCTGAAATCCATCAAGTTCCTGGGTTTCGTGATTGACGAGACGGTCGACGGCCTGATCCTGAAAATATCGAGGCTGTGAATTCTAAATTCTCGATTCTGAACTATACTACTGCACATTTACCAGTAGTTCAATTTCTTTATATTTTTTCCCGTTGGACGGTGTGGTACTCGAGTTTACCTGTTCATGCACAAATGTTCGGCTTTAACAAACTGATAAAACCCTGCAATTTTTCTGCACTTATTATCTTTCTTTTTCTTTGCTTAATTGTTGTGAACTTACGGTTTGCGTCTCATCGGTTGTAATTTGTTTTACTGTGCCAATTTTACGGACTATTCGCCATTTGCGCAGACTTAACTGCTGACGTGGAATAATTGCTGCCCGAATTAGCGAGTCGCATTACCTATTCGTGAGTTAATTGTATTCTTTTTTGTTTATTACTGCTATTGTAGAACCACGGTTATTCAGTATACTCATTCCGCCCACTGCCCTGTATTTTAACTGCCCCGACCGTGCGTTAGTTAGGTGATACGATTAGCCTCTTATACTCTCTGGCCGTAATACAGCGGCCATAGACAGTTACGGCCCTCCAACGGATGTCACAACCTTGCGCTCATTCCAATTCATTAACTACCAACACATATCTAACCACCCAATCCATCCACCTCAACCTACCACCAAACCCCACAATAATCATACTATATCCATTCAATTACTACCCTATACCTCCATCAAAATCCCCCCACACCACACACATATCCCACCTCACAACTACCACCCCAACCCACCTCCTCCTCTCAACATACTCCACCTCACCAACTCTACATCCATTATCATAACAACCACCCAAAACACAAAACCCCCCCCCCCCCCCCCCCCCCCCCCCCCCCCCCCCCCACCCCCCCCCCCCCCCCCCCCCCCCCCCCCCCCCCCCCCCCCCCCCCCCCCCCCCCCCCCCCCCCCCCCCCCCCCCCCCCCCCCCCCCCCCCCCCCCCCCCCCCCCCCCCCCCCCCCCCCCCCCCCCCCCCCCCCCCCCCCCCCCCCCCCCCCCCCCCCCCCCCCCCCCCCCCCCCCCCCCCCCCCCACCCCCCCCCCCCCCCCCCCCACCCCCCCCCCCCCACACCCCCCCCCCCCCCCCCCCCCCCCCCCCCCCCCCCCCCCCCCCCCCCCACCCCCCCCCCCCCCCCCCCCCCCCCCCCCCCCCCCCCCCCCCCCCCCCCCCCCCCCCCCCCCCCCCCCATCATCATAATGGGCGGAACCCAGGAGGAATTGTTTCAGCGACTGGATGACGTGATGATGAGAATTAAGGAATATGAATTCCAGTTGCGAGCTGACAAATGCAAATTTTTCCTGAAATCCATCAAGTTCCTGGGTTTCGTGATTGACGAGAACGGTCGACGGCCTGATCCTGAAAATATCGAGGCTGTGAATTCTAAATTCTCGATTCTGAACTATACTACTGCACATTTACCAATAGTTCAATTTCTATAGACTTTTCCCGTTGGACGGTGTGGTACTCGAGTTTACCTGTTCATGCACAAAGGTTCGGCTTTAACAAACTGATAAAACCCTGCAATTTTTCTGCATTTATTATCTCTTTTTTTCTTTGCTTAATTGTTGTGAACTTACGGTTTGCGTCTCATGGGTTGTAATTTTTTTTACTGTGCCAATTTTACGGACTATTCGCCACTTGCGCAGACTTAACCGCTGAGGTGGAATAATTGTTGCCCGAATTAGCGAGTCGCATTAACTATTCGTGAGTCAATTGTATTCCTTTTTGTTTATTACTGCTATTGTAGAACCACGGTTATTCAGTATACTCATTCCGCCCACTGCCCTGCATTTTAACTGCCCAGACCGTGCGTTAGTTAGGTGATACGATTAGCATTATACTCTCTGCCGTAACAGAGGCCATAGACAGATTACCGGCACCAACGGATGTCACAACCTTGCGCTCATTCCTTGGGATGGTTAGTCATTATAGTGAGTTCCTACCTTGCATGCATCGATTACGTCATCCTTTAAACCAATTGTTGATGAAAGATGTTGAATGGAAACTGGTCCGCTACAGTGTCAAGAAGCTTTTGACAAACTCAAATCACTGCTGAAATCAGATTTGCTCCTTACGCATTACAATCCGAAGCAGGAGATTGTCGTGGCTACGGATGCTTCGAGTCATGGAATTGGTGCTGTCATCTCACATCGCTTTCCAGACGGGTCCGAAAAAGGACTGTGGCACATGTGGCACGAGCGTTGACCGCATCTGAAAAGAACTACAGTCAAATTGAGAAGGAGGCGTTGGCTATCATCTTTGCCGTACAGAGATTTCACAATATGATATATGGCAGAAGATTCACGCTGGCGACTGATCACAAACCGTTATTGGCAATCTTTGGATCTAAGAAAGGCATTCCGACATATACAGCCGGTTGACTTCAGCGCTGGGCAACTCTGCTCCTGGGGTATGATTTTGGCATGCTGTATTTGTCCACTGATTCTATTGGCCAAGTGGACGCCCTGTCCAGACTGATCAATACCGGTAGACGCGATCAAGAAGACGCAGTCATTGCATCCATTGCAGCCGAATCGGACGTCAGCTACATGACACAAGACGCAGTGTGTAACTTGCCAGTGAATGGTTTAATGGTTGCGCAAGCCACCAAACAGGACGCTGTGCTACAAGAAGTATTAACCTATACAAGAAGTGGATGGCCAAAGAAGTGTCCGAACGAAGCTTTGACCCAGTTCTTCATAAGGCGAGGCGCATTGTCGGAAGTTGATTCCTGTCTGTTTTTCGCAGATCGCATAGTCATTTCAGAAGTGCTCAGACAGCGCATACTAAGAGAGTTGCACAAGGGCCATCCAGGAATCGCCGGCATGAAGTCACTCGCTCGCAGCTACGTCTTTTGGCCGATGATGGACAGCCAAATTGAGGATATCAGTCGATCCTGTTCCAGATGCATCAGTGCATCCAAGCTGCCGGTGCGTGTGTCATTGCAATCTTGGTCGAATCCAGAATCTCCCTGGTCGCGCATACATGTTGATTTCGCAGGACCAGTCGAGGGTGTGGAATTTCTTATGATGGTTGACGCGTACAGTAAGTGGCCGGAAGTGATCCGGATGCAAACCACGTCCTCAAACAGCACGATCTCGGAAATGAGACATGTATTCAGTCAGCATGGCCTACCAAAAACCGTTATTTCCGACAACGGATCGCAGTTTACGTCCTATCAATTCGCCGAGTTTTGCGCACAAAATGGAATCGAGCACGTGAGGACAGCACCATATTATCCACAGTCAAATGGCCAAGCGGAAAGATTCGTTGATACCCTGAAAAGAGCACTTTTGAAGTCAAAAGGCGAGGGAACGTTGGACGAAAGACTGGACCGGTTCCTATTGAATTATCGAGTAACTCCCAATCCCAATGCACCCGATGGGAAGTCACCAGCTGAAGTCCTAATGGGTCGCAGATTGAGAACTACACTGGATTTGCTGACACCCAGGCGTCCTCTCCCACAAACAAGGAACTTAGCAATGGAGC